GCATGAAGTCAAAGTTTGTAATGGGATGAAGTCAACTCTGTTTTCCTCAGTACTACAGCCTCTATCATGCCACCTAAAGATTCAGAAGGGTTGAGGTTAGTTTAGTTGGATGAAGTCATTTTCCCCATGGGGATGAAGTCTAGTTTGACGCAGTAATGAAGTCTAGTTTGATGAAGTAATTTAGTCTAGTTGTCCACAGTAATGAATTCTAGTTTGGGGATAATATTGAGATTTTTTCATTGAAGTTGATGCCTAGTTATCAGAAAATATATGGAAAGTTCAATGTTTAATTTTTTCCTGATTTTCCTGAGAAAAGAACAAGTACAAGTATGTGTTAGGAGACAGTGATGTGGTGGCTGTGCTCATTCAGGAAGTAAGATTCAGTGATTCATGAGTTCCTGCCTCACATAAACACCATCTTTCAATAAGTACACCTTTTTAATGGCACAGTCCCAATACCCTACCTGACATAAATGCAGGGTATAGCATTTCATTAGGTCTGAATTCTGTTCATGTTGTGATCAATATTGTCACAAATGTGCCATTCTGATGCCTACCTTGAACACTCTGCATCAGATAATCATGTACATTCAATCAAGGAATTATAGTAATGATGAAGAAACACATAGATTTGGATAAATATTTGAATTGTATTGACTTGCAGAATATTAGACTCACACTTGCTTGGTTTTAGGTTAAACCTTCATTGACTTATGATAGAAATGGGTGCATAAAATGCCCTTGAGATTCATGAGATACAAAGGATGAATTCCCTGAACTGTTAGTCTGTCCCTTCTGTTCTCCTTTATGTAGATGATATAATGAAGTTAATTCAACTGAAATATGAAAGAAGTTAAAACGTTAATGACCTGTAATGATAGAATCATCATCTTCCTTGAGGTAGGTGAGATGTCATGGTACATGGATAGATTTAATGGAAATTATAAAAAGTACTGAGATTTGATGGATATTATAAAAAGTACTGAAATTTGATGGATATTATAAAAAGTACTGAGATTTTATGGTAATTATCAAAAGTGCTGAGATTTCATGGAAATTATAAATAGTACCGACGTTTGATGGTTATTCAAAAACAATTTTGAGATTTGATGGTAGTGATAAAAGATACTAGTAATAATGAACACAGATACCTTTCCCTTCCCACAATGTGATTTTCTGGCAGTGCCATGATGGCATGTCTCTACTTGTTGGCCATGTTCCAGGTTCTGCAGACTGCAGGAGAAGGTGAGGTGATGATAGACTGATATTAAGTTTAGCACAACTTTGGAAAGGATACCCACATCACCTCAAATGAGGTTATGAGATATTTTTCCATTGTATTGTGTATGTTGAAACTGTCTATAGTCTAGTGTGGTATCTATATGGCAACTATTGATATTTTGACATGGCATCCTATTACCCTCTACAGTTGCAATGAGTCAATAGTGTGATCAGTTGTTACACTTCTAGTTATGGCTGCAGTCTTCCCATTCATGACTATGTAGACATATAACATGCAAATGTCAACAAACAATCCATGCTTTTAAAGAGAGAAGTAGTGATAATATGAACAAAAGCAATGCTTTAACTGAATATTAGCCCCAGAGATCTTTTGAGCTGTATCTGATTCAAGATACCAAGATGTGCATGTAGTTACGTGATTATTCTGCAGAACTCTTCACAAGAGTATTCATCTTGGTAAGAATCTCAGAATTCCTTCAGATTACAAATTGTTTTATGAATCATCCATCTTTACAACTTTGTTCTTTTGAAGATCTGAAATAACTTCTGCCTTGCGAACGTAATCTGCATGTATCTATTCCAGTTGCGTATCTCACAATAACATATTTCTACATGCTCCTCCGATGTGAAATATCTGTTGCCAGTATGTCTGTATCTGCAAAACTAGTGCCAAGGCATACTGCATCGTTTGATTATACTGCTAATCTAAACATTACATGTGTTTCTTTGACAGACTGTTACGTTGGCGATTTACTGAATATTTCCGTGGAATAAGACTGTAATTTGGTTACATGGGAAATGTCATGCTGATGTAGCAGTTGATAAGAGTTTAACACTGTAAGTGTATCTTGTTTAAATGATGTCAACAAAAGAAACAGGAAGCACAAACGTTTGTTATCAAAGATTGTATCTGAAATTTGATGCAAGCACGTGTGTTGCAAGCACATGATGCTTGTCCGGAGGTAAAAAAAATGAAGGAATATCATGAATTTAGCTTTGTATAACTTTTTCTGATTCATATATCAAACACTTAATGTTGGTTTTCAAAAGAATTTGGGATAATGTAATATTTCATCATGAAAGAAAGTTTTTATGATTTCAAATATTATGTATTAGTGTCAAATGACTTTATTATTTAAAATGACATTTTACCACTGATGCATTGATGTTTCAACTAATCAGTTTCCTAAATGTAATATAAAAGTTCGCTATTTACGTGAAGCTAACAGAATAACTTTTTTCTGCGCGGACATTGTATTAAGCTAAAATGGTTAGAGATGTTTTATTGACCTCACTGGTCAAAACATCCATCATTTTTCAAACATAAATGACAGATCAACAGTCCAGCAGTCCGTCAATCTAGCCACCTTTCCATTCAAATCATAAATCGGCTGTCTTTTTGATAATCTGAGAAATTAGCCTCTTCATTCTGGTAACAGGGGTCATACTGGAAACATGGCCAAATCAGATAGGATGCCGTGCAATGATTAGAATGTGGTTAAACATTAATGGCGTGCCATTAAGTGATCGTGCTCATACCAGACAAAGAGGCGTCACACATAGTGGCCGATTGTCGAAGCTCTCTCTAAAGTCCATGTATTTCTTTAATTATTGAGCCCCCCACCCTACCCCAGTATTAATCCTACGTACTGTAGTGTGATGGGAAAGCTCCGAGGTAACAATAATACTGACAGAAGAGTGAAATGTAGCGAGTACAATGAAGATTTATGTCGTCAAGTTCTTTATCCCAGGCCATTTCCTTGGGTTAAATAATTCATATTAGGTAACTGATACCTTTAATTCTTTATGTAGCTCTCAATTAGAAAAGTTTATTGGGGTTTTATGGCATTTTTTTAAAAACGTTTTTATCATTCCTGCCAAAGCTAATTATAAACACTTAAAGACCTAATTATCAACTTCAGGATTGATGGGAGTTTGATTCCAGGGTATTACAATAGATGGACAAGTTTTGATGGAGATAGTTTTGTTTCTGTATTAAAACTTCAACATTACAAAATGTAAATGGATTTGATGTTATGATTTATTGTCTTGGTGTTTCTGTTTCATTAAACAAACATCCTGTTAATTTGATTGATACATTTCGATAACAGAAAAATGATCATGTTGACACTGCATGTGATGAAAATGCAGATTTAATTGTGTAGAATTAGCCCATTAACAAACACATTATTTGCTCTTTGATTTGATAATGTTTGTTTTTGTTTGAAATTAAAATCTTCCTCGAAAACATGCTGTTTGTCGACAGTAAACATCACCTCAGCAGGAATGAACATGAATCATATAATCAGAAATTTTGCAATTTACGAAATGGCTTTGAAAGCTTTGGGAAATGAATGGAAATTTCGAGATATAAGATGATTGTTTAGGAAGTTAAATATTGATGAAACTGAGGCTGGAACATATAAATTATGTGTCTGCAAATGTCAGTGTGACACAGTACCCAGTGTTGTCTCCACATGGAGATTCAATGGCAGAATGTATACTTCCCCATGCTTGTCTTAACTGAAATGTGGACTGGGTGATTAACATTAGTGACCTGCCGTATTTATCACTGGTTGGCTCGTTCAGAATGTTTGCAGTAATATCAAATTGTGTGGCCTAAAATAACATTCACTCAGTCATGCACTGATTCTGATCAGCTCCACCATCGTTGCCTCATTTAATGAGACATTGATGAGGACTCTGATGCTCTCTGTGCGTTCAGCTACGACTCACTAGACTACAAGGTCAATGTGTCATACTTATTGTGATCACAGTCATGGCCTACATACTACTTGGCATCAATTCTGTGACGTTTTCTGTGTCACTGTGCAATTATTAGGATCAACAGTTGATGTTGGTATGTTCTCTGGATAGGGGACAAAGAGATGTCTTTTTAAGTGAAAACCTCTTGTGACAGAACCCATCATCTTATTGAGTTTGGTTCTATAACTGTCAAACTGTGAGCAGACGCAGAGACAGACGTAGTGTTAGAAGTCTGTATCACACTCATCCCTGGTGATGAGGAAGGGAGATACGATGGGATCACAGACTCTGTTGGTATCAGACAGTTGTTTTGAGCAGAGCAAACAAACTGCATTATCAAATCACTGTGACGTCAGTTGGTGTGCTGAAAAATACTGATTGTCTGTACTCTTTTCAAACAGTCAGAAACAAGAAACTGATTTATTTTTCCTGACCAGATCAACAGAAAGTTTGGTTTGATAAACTGAATCTTTCCTGATAGCATTTCCCACTTCTCATTGATTCTGCTGCATTCAACGCAAAAGGTTTTCACTATCAACCTTTCTCAGAACTAAATCAGAAGTTTATCTTGGACAAACATATTCTAAGAAGAAGATACACTACTATTCACATTGGTTGTTGAATATTGTCTACATGAAAAGATTTTAACATATTGTCAGTTGATCACTTGGCATATGTACAGTATATATATATATGTCATAATATTTTGTATTAGGAGCACAGGTGCCCCAGTCTTCTTAAGGTACCTCAATTCCATATGCAGAGTTGTGTCCCTTGGATTCACCAGAATCGAATCTGATGAATGATAGTTGGTTTGAATCCCAATTTACCCAGATTATGATTTTTGGTTTGTTAACACCATTACCATGCTCATGGGCTTCACCAAATGTTAAGCTTTCAAGTGAGAATCCCCCATATTAAGCTGATATGACTGTTTAAAGTGGCCTTTACCCAAACTCGCAAAGTATTCAATGTGTATATTTTTGTTTCAGGGCAACTCTAATGAGTTTGAAGCGACAGTGGTGGCACAGTGTGATGCTCTGATCGAGGCCATCAAGAAGAGGAAGGTGGAGCTGCTGGAGAGTGTGCAGGTGGAGAAGGACAACAAGGTGAAAACTCTCAAGGAGCAGGTGTCTCACTGCACCTCACTGCTACAGAGGACCACTGGACTGCTGCAGTTCTGTATAGAGGTCCTCAAGGAGAGCAACCCATCGTCCTTTCTACAGGTAGGTGGATACTGCAGGTTAAACTGTGAAAGACTTTGTATATTGAAATGCTTGTCTTGATCAACAGTCAGATCTCTTATGGGTCCCCAGGCAGGTGGATTGTAGAGGTTGAACTGTTGATAGGGTTTTTAAGATTGAGCTGCTTATCTTGATCAACAGTCAGATCTCTTATGGGTCCCCAGGCAGGTGGATTGTAGAGGTTGAACTGTTGATAGGGGTTTTAAGATTGAGCTGCTTGTCTTGATCAACAGTAAGATCTCTTATGGGTCCCCAGGCAGGTGGATTGTAGAGGTTGAACTGTTGATAGGGGTTTTAAGATTGAGATGCTTGTCTTGATCAACAGTCAGGTCCAAAGGGGGTCCAGGGTAAAAGACATAGGTGGATACTGGATGTTGAACTGTAGATAGGAAACCTTTTGACTGCAAGTGTTGATTTAGATGGTATTCCTGCAGTACAAGCATTTGCTATTCCTGTAGGTTGTCTACATCAATTGCTTGATCATTAAAATGCCATTCTTACCTCCAAGCGGGGAGGATATTACCAGGATAAAGGCAGGTGCTTGTTTTATGATGGGGAAACAGTGAAACAGAAGGTCAGCGTGTTCCAGAAAACATTGTACGTAAATTCTCTAAAACTTGGTGTAGGTTTTATTTGTTTGTTGTTTGACCTTGCACTCAGCAGTATTCCTGCTATATGATGGCAGCCTGTAGATAATCGAGTCCAGACAGTCCTATGATTGATATAATGAGCAACTATCCACGTCATCCTATCAATGAAATTACTAACCTGACCACCTTACCCATTAAGTCGCCTCCAATGATCAGTGTTGGTTCCTGGGGACCTTAACCTTCTAACCGGTATCCCCACATCCCTCAGATATTTATTGCTAAAGTTATGATGAAATAGATTCTCTTACCACTACATCTATAATTGAACATTCTTTGGGACAGACAAAATCATTTGTGCCTCCAATGGATTAATTTCTTATGCATAGCCAGCAACAAGCATTTTCAGTTTCTGTTCTGACTAGCGATGAGTATTCCAATGGGTATGTAAGGTCAGACCACTTTATTGATACTTGTTAGACATGGGATAGACTGTCTTCCGATGACTCACAACATGATGTGAATCCTCATACTTCATTACACCCAAGTATGCAATTCAGATTGAATCATGATTTGTATTTAAAAATTAGAATGTTTCCCCGTATTATCCACACATGTACTTGCTAGCTACATAAATGAATAAAATTCTATCTAGTCTGACACTGCTGCCTGTGAAAAGCAACTGAAAGCCATCAATCTTCAGCATTGAATCACAAATAATTGTGTTTTATGTTCAATCTCTGACACATTCCTTTCCTGGAAGAGCACCTTGTCGGCTCTTAAGTTAAAGAGCCATTTGTACGATAGACATAGGTTACAAGAGTGTAACATTGAGATGTATATCCATAGCTGCATTTTGTAAGTTGTCGTAAACTTGGATGCAATCAAGCTCATGGGCCATTTCCTGCTTCTTCAATCACACTTCTTCATGTATAGGAGAGAAGAATCATGGTCGTAAACTCATATTTTGGTCTCAGATTCTTTCCACCTGATTGAGCACAATCATTACATTTTCCTCCGCCTAAATAATGCTGGCTATTTCTATGGAAACAGCTATGATGCTTTGATTTCCAACTGGAAAGTGTTGGTCTCTTTCTAAAAACCCTCCTTGCTGATCTCATTGTAACCACAACCCATTTGTTGAATCTTCAGCGTGTAGAACATTTCCAGTCGAAACCAAAGCATCATTTTATTCAATAAACAGACATTTTATTGGGTTAAGGGGAAGGTGGCAGACTCTCTTGAGTTTCATGTATCAAGATTTGTCATGGAAAGTGGCTTTCTATAGAGAACCTTTTTTTGCCTTTTCCTGAGAATCAGGCGATGTCTTTTATTTACCACATCGGCTCCTGTTCTTTCTGAATGCTACTCCCCTATCAACTTGTGAGACTGACGTGTGCTGTGGACAACCCATTCACATTATGAACAATTGCTATTGAAACTCAACCAGCAGTGTTTATACAGGGTGCAGCAGCCTTTGTCTTGGGGTTATACAGCTGTATGATACAGACGCCTGCAAATATCATGTATTTCCACTACGAGAAAATGAATTTAAGCATCAGGTGAGAAGTCAGGAGAATGCCAGGTATCCTAGACTGGTGTTCTCTACCCTGATTGGTTGTGTGTTTCAGGCATGTGTCAATTGTAAAGCGTCACCTCTTTCAGATTAAATGATTGCCAAAGAAAAGAAACACAAGGCTATCTTAACTGTATTATGGGATAAACAGGTTACCATATCTAGGTTCTACTATTGACCTACTTTTTAAAAATATGGGTCTTAAAAAGATTACCATTAATAATTTACCTGATATTTAAAATGCGTAAAATGTATTTTTTTTAATTAACATAACATCATATCATCATGAGGGGCGGTCGGGTAGCCTAGTGGTTAAAGCGTTCGCTCGTCACGCCGAAGACCCGGGTTCGATTCCCGACATGAGTACAAAGTGTGAAGCCCATTTCTGGTGTCCCCCGCCGCGATATTGCTGGAATATTGCTAAAAGCGGGGTAAAACCATACTCACTCACTCATATTATCATGCATAATGTACAGTATTTTTTATTTCCATACTGTCTCTAAATACCATTGAACATATTCTGGAAGCACAGGCTTCTGATGTTCTCAGATGTCATGAGTCAGAAAGATGAAAGATGGAATTGATGCAGCCATATCATCACCTTCCACAATGGCCGACCGTCATCTCACATATTTACCTAGGAAATCATTTTCTTTTCTCATAATTTTATCATAGAAACAATATAACTAGAGCCTGTTTCCAAAGATTTCACAAATATTGTTTCTCAGAAAGCTCAAAATGGTATTGTTGATGTTTTTCAGAGACCTGGATGAATTTCACAGCAATCAGGGTTTTTTGTGTGCAAAATGTATCAAGACCAAAGCCATTATGTACATTCATCTCAACGTCCATCAAGTTTGTTCTCATAACTTGCCAATTACCAGTGTTTACAAATGTCGATAACCAATGTTTATGAATGACGTTTGATGAGTTATGTTATGTCTAGCTGAATGCAGGCATAGAAAATGCCTTTTCCATGTTTCCTTTCTAAGGTCACTCTTCAGGGAAGAAGTCAGCTTTCTTGTCAGATTACTCACCAGCCAACCAAAACATGGCCGAGTGTTTGACACGTTTTTGAAGGTTTTCTTTAGTTGACTGACAGTACCTTAGCATATGAAAGACATCAGGAAAGGTCAAAACACATTCATATTGTCAGTAGATATAACCATTTATTTGGATTTTACTTCCAATAACAAACTTTGAAGCGAGTGCAAGAGGCGCTATTGATTTAGAGAGATGAACAGCTACAGAGTACCGTAAAGTTATTAAAAACTCTTAAAATGAATATTTTTTAAAGACTTTTACAGTTATTTTGGTTTATAGGCAGACTACATTAGACTTTGTGACTTACTAGATAATTTTTAATCATAATAGAGGTCGTAATCTTAATATTGATTGTAGTGTATCATCGGTGTGAGACAAAATGCTTGTCATTTGTGTATTTATGTTGAAAAATAAATCAAATGCTTAAATTTAGTAACAATTATTTGATTTAATACTGTACTCATGAAGACACATTAAGTGTATAGCATTACAAAAACAGGGGATAGAATAAACACAATGAAACTTCAGATGACTTTCTATTTTGGACATCTGCACTGTGTTGACCGGCAGAGATGGGACCTGTGTTATCTCTTCCTGAAATGTAAAAACATTCAAAGTAGGAGAAAATCTGGTTTGATAAATAAAAATAACAATCACTTTGAAAATGCCACTTGCTAATTGAAATGGAGTTTTTGCTAATTTCTAAAAACTGTACATGCACAGCAATTAGTGATGCTTTTTCTGTCGTTTGTTTTTATAAGGTGATCATGAAAATCCTTTTAAAAGGCTAAATGTTTTTGTAGGGAAGGATTTTGTTGAATAGATTGATAGAAAGCATCGTGTATTACTATCATTTGATGTTATGTTCAGAACTTTGGCTTTTTGTGATATTACTGTCATCTGATGGGGCTTTTTTGAAAATGTCAAACAAATGTTAAACAGTGATTTTGTTCATTAATGATATGTAAATTTTTTATCTTTCACTTTACATTCTAACAAAATTTGTGTCTCATATTGAACAGATTCCAATATGTATTGCCTTGTTTTTCATCACATTTCCCAAGGATTTTGATTTTGGTCTGGAAAATTAAGTTTTAAAATTATCCGCTTTTTAGACCGATTCCAAAATGTATTTTCCTTTTTCGCTACATTTCCAAAATGTTTTAATGTTAAAACTGGATAATTGAGTTTCAAACCAAAGCAATTATTTCACAATATTCCAAGTATTTTAGGTGACCATAAACAATAGTGTGCCCGACATGTATGAAATGGACTGTAAGTGAATGATTGGATTAAAGAAGTAAACATTTTCCAATAATAAAAAAAGTATGACACATAATTCCTATCTTTGTGTGTAGAATGAGTCATAATCAGACAAAGGTCATCAAACCAGTATCAAAATACAGCTCAATGTTTCTTCACTATAGATTTACACTTAATTAGATTTTCTACTAATATTATAATGCACAAAGTGATGCATATCATTGCTGTATGTTCAGCCAAGCAAACTACCGACCAGGCAATACTGTAATGAAGCTATGGCTGGGAGGACTTGGGCGTGTTCATCAGAGACCACACTGTGCATGGGGATTTACTGCACTGGGTGCTTCACCACAGGTAGAGAGGCCATTGCTCGCCAACTATGGATACATGTGACCATGTTGTATATTACTATTTACTGCCACTCCAGGAAGTCATATTTTGATTTGACTAGCTTTTACGCAGTAGGTGTTCTGAATTATAATCATTTGGTCACTAAATATTAAATTTTCTGA